TGTCACAAATGCGCTACTGAGCATTCGGGATTGAATAAGACAGTGAACTTTCAGATGATGATGCTTTGTGATTAGTAGAACTGTTCCCATACAATCATAATTCATCGGCTGCGCTTTCAAAGTACATTGACAACTCACAGCCAGTTCTCAGTCATATGCTGGCGTTCAGAATGTAAGTACATAAGCATTCTCTTGCCGAACGCTTCCTGAGTTTACACTCCAAAATAACCAAACATACGTATTGCCACTATCTTCCTGCTCTTTGTATTTTACATATCCGAAAAAGTGCATAAAAATGAACGAGTGCTTTTCAGAACTTTAGCTTAGGTTACCATTGGCGGTTGCGTTAGAAAAATAAAATCTTAAACCTTCATGATTCAAAACACTATGCCTAAATGTGATTTATGTCAAAAAGCACGATCACCATTAGCGCCTGATGTGAATTAGCGGATAGCTATTTCACAGTGTAGAGTGCAGTAAAATTATCTGCAGAGTAGCACTTGTAATACTAACATTAATAGTAATGCTAACACTTCGAAACGCTGTCCATCAAAGACTGATCGTATTAACATATGCATCATGCTCACGAATGCAGGGTTGTCAATTGTTGTGGCTCATGCCAGTGTATAATAGGGAAGAATTCGTTAGAATCAGCATTTATTCATTTCACACTCGGTTCCTACCAGTTCACGCACATTTTTATTTCTTTGCTTCTGATGCAGAGTGAGGAGGTACACTGATGATGACGCACTCGTGAAAGCGGGCGAAACAACTGAAGACAAGAACCCAAATCTTGGAACTAAAGAAAAAGCAACCATAGGCATAAATACCACTCAGTCTCACTAAACTATTGCGGTAGACTGGTGATTAACTGTAGGTTGCTAGGTGATACAGAATACAATTCACAATCTAGCACAAGTGTGCATATCACAGCTAACTGCACTAACCGCTATGGATAAAATAAAACTAAGAGATGAACCGATGCTTTTATACCACATTGTTAATAGAATCTGTCGCTCATTATCTTCTAACAAATCTATACTTTCGAATGATTCTCCCACTCATAGGCCATACATGTGCAATCAAAATGCTAGTAAACCGTCGCTGGTCCCTAGACATGAGTAGCGGACATCAATAGAGATCACCACATTCCACAATGTAATAATTTGGTCCACTGTGTTCCATAAAGCTTAGTTTTGTTTATCACGTTTTACATTGGTAAGTGACGGAGAGGTGGCTTCATCAATATTTTCACTTCGTCTGTACCCGCTAAGTAAGAATGTATGTTGTTAAGTTGTGCTTCCAGTACTATTCCTAATACAGATAGTGCAAAAATTCGAAGTTAAAACGTGTAGAGTCCACAAAACTGTCTCGACCCATGTGATTCATGCCTGATAGCAGACTTGCGTACGGGTGATGGCGTCACTCTCAGCCACAACCAATACGTTACTCATTGGCATTATGAATTGTCGACGAAAATCGACGCTGTACATTGGATTCAGAATCATGAACTTGCTTGAAAATGTCAACGGTAGGCGTCGTCGATGCCTGTAGTCCCAGCAACCACTTTCATTGTCCAGTTATTATAGGTGGAGGACAGCAATAGAAATAAACACCATCATGTTACCTGTAGCACGTTTGTTGCTCAGAGATAGCATCTAAACGTAGCACTCCATTACAACCGGCTTTCTTGCACTAGCTGATTGGTATGGAACCTTCCGTGATTCAGATGGCGACTACGTAATTTAAAGCAAGTTCACAGCAGTGGTATTTAGTAAAGGAAAAGTAGTGATCACGAAAGTCGGCTTTCGAAATTGCGTACGGTATCATACTGCCAAAAAGCAACACGTTTACCTGCGGTTACAGATTGGCCTTTCCAGTTCTTCAAGATAACATTAAGGGCAGGAGAGGTGATGGCACATTTCGTTATAACCGCTTCCGAAATCCTTGTAACGGAATGCAGGATTCCAGAGTGTATGCGCCACACAGTAACAGTCTATCGCTCAAGTAGTCCGCTGTGTGCAAAGCATCCGTGTAAACCTCCAAAGTCCCAAATATAGACTAAGGGATGAGCAGAACCTGGTACCCTTATCTCTGGAAAACATTTATGCTGCCCAGAAACGTAGATTACTAGCGGTTTTCACTCATTTTCACCGCCTTTAGCTGACTCGTAGACATTTTTTACCTACTCGATTACATTGGCACACATGTTATTTACGCTTGTCGCTACCGGGAATATTTGGATGCATTTTTGCTAGTGGTTATATTACAATTCGTTTACACCTGGACCAATCCATCCTGGGTATCCGATGTGGCTAATGAGATGGTTGTAAATTTCTAGGGTTTTCGTCGAACGATTCAGTGGTACTTTCATGGATTCAAATCCGCGTGTCGTACGTCTTATTCGTTCACCGCCTTTGTCGGATCTCAGTAATTGGTACAAAACGTCAAAAGCAACTTTTCGTGTTGTCTTCCTAACTATCCGTCAAACCATTGGCAATTCGAAGTATGATGACGCTCGCAGCATAATGAGTGATATCATCAGGTCGTTTAGGCTTACAACAGAATCTCACTTATCGTAACGCGTCTGGAATGATCCTCGACAAAAAACTCTGACCATTTCATCATTTGGCACCTCACTTTTAGTTAAGTACAGCAATAGTCAGATATCGTTACAATGGTTAAGTGGTTCCCACATAAGGGGAGGGCATTTCACTTGCGAGATTCGTGGTCGGGGTTCAGTTCGCGCCATATCTCTAGGGAAAGTGGTGACAAGTTAAATCCAGGGAATAACTGAGGGAATTAATGCTCACTTACATCCACATCTTTGTTTAATGCTATAGAACCCGGGAACACTATGCGCTATTCTTTAGTGAGTTATTTTATTAATGTTTCGAATGTCAACGTTTGTTCCTCACATTAAGAAGTGCTACCTGTGAAAAGAAACCTACAATCTAAAAATTTTGCCCTCATTACAGAAATTTTTGGTGCAAAGGTAACTGGTACCATAAGTTTTGGATAAAATCTCACCAAAGGACTGGCAAAATTTGCTTCCGGTTGGCTTGGCTTTGCCGATGTATGTGGAAACACCAAGTTCTATGTAATGGAGATACCAACGGTAGCACAGAAAAAATCTTCACATTGCTGGCCTCGAATGGCACAAGCCACACCTTTTGTTCCTCATGTGAAGTAAACGAAATTCGCTGTTACACAATTTAGCGGATTATGATTTTAACACATTTTTTTGAACCTCTTAACATCAGTTGTGAATCCTCGTTGTGCATAGAATGTGCAGCATTCTCGCCAACAGCTGCAACAAACTGTTGATCTGCATGTGACCGTGATGAGTGATCCAACTCTTGCGCGGTTAATACAATTGGCAGAATCTGTTCCAGCTCTTTAGGGATCAACCTAGGTAGCGATGAAGTGATACAAAAAGGAAGCAGTGCTTTTTATTGAGACAAGCAGCTGGTTATATAGGAAAAGTACTGGATTACAATCTATTCCGTCACTTCGTAGAGTTGACAAGTATCGTGATGTGCTGGTATCCAGGCCGAGTCGCATATTGCACGCAACAGGACTGCAAATCTATTTTGACACAATCCCGCAATACATCGGGATCAGAATTAAAGTATAAGGTCAGAGTGAACCTTTGGACTCAAAAGGCCAACCTCAGAGTACATTAGTGCCGGACTTAAGGAAGTTGACCAGTTTTCCCAACCATTTCTTATATTCCCATGGTTACTTTGTATTTGACTGTGCTAATTTAAGCTATTTGTTTAATCTAGTCAACGAAGGAACATCGTCGACACAAAAGCAGTGTTAGTAAGGAAAGCGTGCAAGCAATGTAGGTCGAAGAGGTCCACAGATCAAGCGTGTTCTCCTTTACACTGTCATGTATTTTCTCAAACAAATCGTTGAACCCGAAGTACCGATATCAGCGGCAAGTATAGTATTTGCGGGAGGTGAGTGGGGCCGAAGTTCGAGGAAGTTCCGAGTTGATGTGTGGGTTTCGGATATTTGCTTTAATGCAAATTAACTCAACTGAGAAGGTTGTTTTGTTCTCCGACCTGGGCATTTCATTAGCAGACGTTTCGTCACCAAGCACCATGACACCATCATCAGTGCGGCTTCCAAGGCCTGAATCGCATAGCCTCGTGAGCCAATTGCAGTTCCGAGAGTGGCTATTGATTGTGCACTTTTTTTTATTGTCAGCTGTCGATTGACTCCCTGCGTCGGCCGTGATCGTTACACAAATGAGTAATCCGCTTATAGTTTATTCGGCGATTAAATACACACAATTAGCCATCATCGGATGGAATATCGACGAAAGAAAATACCGATGAAAAGCCGTACATGTAACTATGAAAAAAGCGGCTGTGCATTGTTTTTGCGTGACCATGCTCTGAAACATCGAAAAGGCACTAGGTAACTGACAAACAACTAACCGCAGGACTTGTGCTGACTCACAGCTTCTCCGGTCGCCGTGTGCCTTGTTTGCGGACGACATGAAGATTTGGAGAGAAATTGTCGCTCCCGATGACTGTGGCCTACTTCAGCAAGACCTCAACCTCCTATCCACATGGTCTGCAGAAGTTCTTCTCCCCGTCAATCCAGCTAAGTCAAGAAGCTGGACACCCACGGATTTATTTCTCCTGTCGGGACCGAATTTGGTTGAATTTAACGCGAACACATGAAAGCGCCGATCGGCTAGTACTGGCGAAGGGTGAATCAGTTTGTCGTCAGGCCGCCGTTTACACTGGTTTATTAAAGAAAACTGTTAACGTGTATCGCAGGTAAGACCACATGCAGGATGTTATCCCAGCTATATTGCATTGCTTAGCAGAAGTGAATCTTTTCGCCCATCACCCAACTTCAATTCTCCAATACCAGAAAGCCGCGACAAAGTACACCGTAAACTACTCATCACATATGTGTGGTCTAAAACCTGATTTTATTGTCGCAGGTGTCCGGCATGTTGGGCCAACTTCCGCCTACTCATGTGTGCGATGACGTGTGACCCGGATCAGGCAAATTTTCTCACTCCGATGATCGGTGGAAACCTGGTCCGATCCGTTATGTATAACTTAACAGTTTCAGTGAAGGATGGCTTCTTCACCAGCTGCAAGGTGAGCAACTAACTGCTTCATCGGTTTTGTTTCTGATAGTAATGCCCAATATTTGTTATTTAATCCCTTATTAACCATTTCCCTCATTTTTTCGTTCATTAGCTGTTGAGTGTCCGTTAGTCTCATACTTACAGCGAGGTATCTTCAGTGATGTCATGTTTAGACTAGAACACACAAGGTTCTTGGCAAAACATAATGATAGCTGGAAAATATCCTTTGTTGCGGAACTCATCACAGTCATATCGCCATTTAAGATTGAATACATCTAGCCGCATTAATAACCCACATTCTGTCAAATGGTAGATAGAACCTATACTGTTTCCGAATTTACTCCTGTTTGAGGCAAACATGTCGGTTCCAGCACAAACAGCTTATCTCGACTGATTTGCAGCTTACTCCAAATTGTTTTCTCTTTCACAGGATGTCCGATTCTCTGATGGACGCTCAGTGGACTTGATGTGTGACTCAGAAGTTTGCACACCGGAATTACTCCTAAGAGGTCTCGAAGACCACAGCCCATTTCCACTCAAGTTTGTCGTCACTCCCGACTACAAATATGGTTCACTGAATGTCAGCGAAAAGAGGGCCTACAACCATCCTATGTATAGTTGCAACCAAGCGGTGCCAGCACGTGGATCGGATTCCGGAGGGCCAAGCTGCTCTTGCACAGATTGTGAGGGCTCATGTCAACCACGAGTGTCGGCGTCTCCACTACGTGTTCTCAGTAAGTCAATTATCTACAGTGAAAGCAGGGTAGTTCTAACTAAATTCATGCACGAGTGTCCATTCTTTGTTGGTCTGCTAGTGAATACGACGTCTGAGAATTTCAGAAGGAACAACGACCCTGAGAATGCAAGCCCAACTACAGCAATCTAAGCACTCCCTTGGTCACCAAACCAGCTAGTAAAGTAAGCGTGCACAGAAAGATGAGCATGCATTGCAATGCCTTCCTCCTGAGCAATGAAAACCGGGCGGATGGATTTGTGACCGCTGGAGGGGACAATAGCGGTCGTGTATGGTGGAACTGATAGGTTCTGTTCCTTGAGTCATGGTTTCTAGGGTATTCTCACAAAATACAATGGGCCCCACATCTTAAGGTTAATGTAGCCGCCCGTTTTTAGCTTGTGCACATTCAAGTCGCTTGCGATGAGAGTGTGACTGTATGACATGCTCAAAGCAAAGGGAAAAACGTGTTTCAGTTTGGAGTCCATTTCACATGTAGAGTTTGGACGGTAAATCACAGCTTTAAGACATGTGTCTGGGTTCCCTAAACACTGCCAGTCCCAAAACGAACATAAGGCACGGATTTTTGTTTGATCCATCAATTCGCATCGGAGGCCAGCCTTGTAATACGGAATTGCGTCACCAAATCTGCTAGTTTTACCATTGCGATGCAGCGGCATACCAGGTACCTCAGGACCTGCTGTCTCAATGCCTAACCAAGTCTCGGTAATAAAACTGAGCTCCCGCGGATGTGATGCCTGGCTTTCTCCAAGTTCGGCCAACTTACTTGGCTTACAAACAGGATATAGCTTTTGATGTCAGAAGCGTGTGGATGAACAACCAATTCGTGTTAGTTTTAGGCCGACCGTTCGTTGGTCGGCGCTAATCATTTTCTGTGTGGATCATCGGTTCTTGAATTTCAGACAGGTTGCATAGTAACACGATGCATTCCCGATCGAGATGTTCTCTCGAGATTATAATGTCGGTTTGCATAATTGTTCAGTAGGCATGAAATTAAATTGTGATGAGAATGTCACATCGTTCGTGCTTGGTCCAGGAAACGGACGTACGTTGTGCCTTTGGGCATTTTTATCTAGGCGATCGATGCGTATGTTACCCGTCTCTGCGCTATCAATGTTTGGACCAACACTGCAAGCGTGACATCTAGGGATAAGTTAATAGCATGCCAGATGTGGCTTGCCTAAGTAAACGGTTGGCAATTGCCGGAGTAGATAAGGCAGTTGCCGTATGGCGGTTAGCAATACTGACTTTACGCTTCGAGTTAGGGACAGAACTCTGATGGGTTCGCTGTAAAACAAGATAAGTAAATAAAGAATATTTTATTCTCGACAAAGTGAGGCACGCTTTTGAGCATGATCAGATTGGTGTTGCTAGATTTTAATGGCAAAACACGGAAGCTCGTCATCTAGTGGACTGTTTCAGTCAGCTTTTCGCACTTTTTCACCAAAGATATTATAGAATTGATCATTGGTATTGCTCTGCATGTTTGGCAAAAGCAGAGCGCATCAGTCGGATTGATTGGTCTATTACATCATGGTTGACTTAAACCCGCGTAGCGGGGGTCAAACGTAAAGCCACAATTTGCACAAATAATGCCCCCCGGACTCCTCGCGCAAACCTGCTAACCACAATTAGGTGGAATCAAGTCCATTTACTGCCGTTGTTGCACAGGAACGCTGGCCTTGTCTGGTCAGGTATGGTAGAAGGCGCGTGCTCCTCGCGTTCTTTTTCCCAGTCGCACGCTCCACGTTCGTTAAGGTAGGTGGGTGTGTCATGACGAGGATTCACGTACAGGATATTTGGCTAGTTGATGGAGCTACACTGGTCTCTGTAGGGCAAAGCTGTTGGAATTTGCTTGTAGTAGGTGGATGTCAACGACAATTGCTGGTGATGGGCGAATGCATTTGAGACCACAAATTGAGTAGTTGTTTGGTTAGAACTGATCCTATGGAAGTAATTATAGGACTACCAGATAGCTCGGAGCATCCTTGATCGATCACATTGTCGCAGCCATGAAAACTGTTTAAGGACAACAGGGTGTCGCGTCTGGATAAAAGCAAGAAGCATGCTGAAACTACTTGGGTAGCACATATCGCTATCTGTGGGAAATGATTCCATAAAATTAAACCCTCAGACCGCTGGAAGTTGTTTCGATTCGAATGAGTGCACGATGAATGCGCTAGGTGAAGAGGAAGACGGGAAACTCTATGACAGACAAGGGCACGTGCGTGTTGGCACGTTCCACAGGCAGAAATCGTGGAGCATAAGAATAATGTGCACATGAATTTTCGCTTCACGGCAAAGTACATGAGCAACTTTAATCCGTAAGTAAGCAACAGCCTTCCCGTTAAACCACACAAACCAGAAGATGTGGGACATTAAGGGATTATTATTATGTGTGAGTCTCCAAACTTAATAAAGGCCACATAATCAGTGTGGCAGTTTGCTAATGTATTACGAGCACGAAATGAAGGAAAACTGGCACGCAGATGAATCTCGTAAGCAATGTTAGGCAAACGTGTGCCTAGGTGTTCCATCATAAACTAGCATATTGTGCAAAGAAGACGTTGGTATGCAAAGAGGTCTTCCTGTAGTTAGGCCAACGTATAACCATTTTAATTTTTTAAGTTCTGTAGGTCATCCTTGCGCATTGGCCATCGCAATCTTCTCTGCATAGTCCTAATTTCAGTTTATGTACAACCAGAGCGAGTATAAAAGCGGCGCACCCCGGAAACGAACACTGGCCTCAAGGCCGACAATCTAGCACGCTACCACTAGGCTATATACAGATTATACTTGCCGCTTATATGTTAGTTGGTTAACGTACAGTCAATAAGGTAAAACGCTGAAAATGCACACATTTATGTACAAAAATCTCATACTGACAGCTTGACACACTGGTGAAGACAGGAGACGACGTCATCCTACAACAACCGACAGCGCATTATCACGACTTATGTCCTCAAAAGCAGTCACCAACGCTACCAGATGCAGATGGTGCTACACATGACAGTGGTTAGTGCCACACCTCCGTACTGTTATCGGAAATGTGCTGCCAACGCTGAGTAAAGAAGTAATGTCCCCCATGCTCAAACAAACACCTTTTGCGAGAACACTTCTGTATTACAGAAAAAACGGTCATTTCTCTTGTTCGACAACCATACATTTTGGTATCCCTTGGAAGTACTGCGAACTGGTCCTTTATGATTGGATTGTGATACCACGTGGCGCCTATCCATCCGACTTGTCAACATTTTAATAGTTCCACTTATTGCTTGAAGTCTCTTTGGCCTTACCCCCTTATTACCAGCTCCTCCCGGACTCTGAATGTCGGTGTCTGCAGCTTCTAAACACCATGTTTATCACTCTAGTATGACAGCTCAGTCTCGAAGAGCTACCTAGCCTGTGACTAATTTCCATTTCATTTTAACAAGTCTCACACACGGAATGTAGCTGTCTACGCGCTTCTTTCCTCCCTGTTCGGCTCCAGTACTACTGCGAGCTTCAAGGCGCCACCTAGCCTCTGTCTCATCGTCGTTTTATTCTAACCGGCTTCCATTTGTCTTGCGAAGCCGTTGAGATCATGGCCATCAATGCCAACACTGTTTGCTTCTGCTCACTATTTGCTGAATACCCTTGCAACCCTAAATGCTGAGCACTCTCTTTTCCGGTTCCTATTTATAGTTGTCTGCTTTCTGCTTTCATTCATCTGTCTGCCCTCTTCTTCGACCTATCAATCGTAGGTCTCCCTTCTAATGCCAAATACCACTCACCTGACACAAATCCTTCAATTCCTAGGCTAGACCCAATCACGTCTGTCAATCTTTTCGCATCAACTACTATATTCCGTTGATTTTTCTTATACCTCATTCATGGGCATCGCTATATTATCTCGCTTTAGGCCTTGGATGCAATGCCAACATTGTGCTAACAGAGCGCGGTAGGACCTTATTGCATCAGCGGAGCGTTGTACAATATTAAACTTGCGGTCTTTCACCATTTATCTCAGCGGCGTTTTGATCGCGCTTAGAATACTGTGCTTAGGCTTGCAAACTTATCCTCGCAACGACGCTGTTTGCTTGGCAAAATTACAAGGGCTGGCCACCAGAATTATTGACCTCCAGTCGTATGGTGGCTACCCGGATTATTCAGGTTTCTTCTCATTAGAACAACGCAGAATAATGGGTGACATGATAGAAACGTTTCAGGTCATGAAGCTCTCAGTGGCGTTAGACCTAGCCATCTCTCTGAACTAGCTACGTCGGGAAACATACGGAGGCCGTATCTATAGGGCATGAAGCAGTGATTCAAACGAGGGATAAGGGTGTGAGTTTTACTAATCTCGTAGTACATATTTGGAATTTACTACCCTGCGTGGTGGAATATAATACGATAGAAACCTTTAAAATAAGTCTAGATACGAATCGATCCGCCTTTCTTCTAGCATTGCACTGAGGTTAGTGCATTCCAATTGGTACCTAATATCCCGTGGTCCATTAGATGTAATGGACGGCATCATGAAGTTAAGAAATTTCTCCTACTCTTTTTTCTCTGCAGAGCTGACGACGCTTAAACATTGAAATGCCGGTGGCATTGGTTTGCTTACCGTCACAGTAAAGGAGTGGCTCGTTAAGCGAACGCCTACTTCGTCCCTGAAGGCCTAAACTAACCTGATCTAACCATTCATAGTCTGGTTTCTATCGACCGCTATGTTTGACATCATTTGCTTTTTAATATCTGCTCTCCATTACGCGCACTATCTTACACTAGTATTTACCACTCCCACAACTTTATGACCCAAATACACACGCGGATATTTACGAGTTCCTTCGTCCTTTGTGTACTTTGGTGGGTTCGTTCTGTTTCCAGTTTTTATCCGTGTATTTTGGTTACTTGCCAAACTTTAATTAATAAACAAATCTATAAATTCTTGGATTAGTTTCGGTTTTGGTGATTAGTGTAATTTTGTAGAAAGTAGAAGCCACGATTAAACTTTGAGCAATAATCTGTTTCGATGGGGAATCGAACGTCAGACATACGGGGTTTGATTCCTCGTCGAGGCAGATTATTGTGCGATGTTGAATCATGGCTTCTACTTTCTTGAACATATAACATTTTAGCCTGTCTTTTGT